TGGCGTATGGATTCTGTCCTCAACAATATTTCGACATCTTGAGCAAGACTTTTCTGGATCCGGCAGTTTTCTGGCGACGAGACACCAACCCGATGCAGCTGTCGGAACATATACAACGAGCCATCAAACGACATGTTCCTGCACGCTATCACTGGGCCCTGGCACCCAAAGAATCTTTGCCGTACGCCTACGTGCTCCCCAAGCCCTCCAAACAATTTTTGAAGGGTCGCCCGATTGTCAGCTATTCCAACACGTGGTGTGCCACGCTCGCGAAATTTCTTTCCACAGCAGTCCTACAGATGCTACAGACGGTCGTTCCACCTCAGTTCGTTTCCCCTACCGTCCACTCCATCATCCAGACGTTCATACATGGCTTCCGCAACAACCCGGTCACGGTGGAACTTCAACTACTTCAACAAGATCTTTCTGGTTTCTTCACTTCGGTCCCACATGATCGCATTTACCACTCGATCTCGTCGTTGACAGACATGTTCGCTCGCCACCAACAGATTCCCTTGGATTCTGACATACAGATTACGATGCGGGACCGCAATTCACTTGGATGCCTATTTCGAGGCCGATATCGAAAAGCCGGTTCACATTACAAACCTCTATGCCTTCGTGACTTACCGTCGTTGGTTATGTTCTTGCTACGTCACTCCTTTTTCACAGTTGGCACGGAAATTTTGGTGCAACATCGCGGTGCCTCCATGGGCTCACCCATGGCCCCCTCAATGTGCGGAGCGACCGCAGCCCTGTGGGAGGCCACTTTCCACCAACTCATCCGCGATCAGTTGCTGACTTCTCGCTATTTCTGCTCCTCACGCTATGTGGACAATCGGTGCCTCCTTCGGATTTGGGATGGGGGGCTGGAATCACTGGACGACTGCCAACGACACCATTCTCGCCGATGTTACGATCCTTTCTCTTCCCTTGGAATTGGAGCACGTTCCGGGACAAGAACTGTTGGGCACCGTCGTGGACACCGCACAACGTTCCATCCGACTTGTCCTCCCACGGAACAGCATCTCTTTGCGCTCCCCGTGTTCCGTCTCTTCGACACGCAGGAACACTCAGGGACTCACCACGCGGATTTATCTCATTTGCAGATTATCCTGGCCCAAAGCCGTCATTGCACCTCGAGTTCGTGAACTTATTCATCTATATCGTGAACGAGGTTTCTCTGAACGTTCACTGGAAGACGCATCCCGATCCGTACTTCGTCGCTTTGGACTACGTTGGCGACAGGTCAGTGAACCCCCGGAAAACTTGCTCCCTTGCGTTTATTGAATCTGCGCCACTTCATTCCGTTGATTTAATCGCAGGCATTTTAGGTCAAGTTACCACCAGAGCCCCTAGTCATGGCCGGTTCTTCACCCGATTCCTATCTCTTGGACGACGTCACCTGGACACCAGACCCGGACATGGACTCAGACCTGGAAGCCTCCTCCGCACACGATGCTGGTCTACCTCCCACACGCTCAGATGTTGACGGGGACCCCACGCCTCTTCGCCCCCTTCCACTTTCTCCCTCTTCTTTCTCAGGACAACGACCTAGCAAACGCCGTCGCCGATATCGCCACCATACCACATCCTCTTCTTCCACATCGTCTCGACCTTCCAAAACCACGTCAACCTCATCGTCGACATCCTCATCGTCCTCATCCTCTTCTTCGTGCTCCACTACGGAACCAAAGGCAATGGACCCGCCTACCTCCTCGTCCCGTCCAAAGAAACGTTCACGGAAGACACCTTCGGGGACGAGCACCATCGCACCAGCGACGGGACCTTCACTCACCACGACCAATCGTCCCTCAGCAACAGTGGACGCTCCCCCTCGCATCCGAATACCTCCACGAGGACATGGTTATACATTACATCAAGTACGCCGCAGCAAGTCGGGCACTACACATTCCACCGTTTCATTTCATGGAGATGCCGCAGAACGTCGTAGACAACAGTGGCTCCGACAATGGCGCCAGTGCACTCCTGCCTCACCGTACTATCAGGATGTGCAGAACTGCATCAGACATCGCGCCCGCATTATGTTGGACATCATAGCACATGAACGAGGAGGACCCACTGCAGCTACAGACAATTTACGGATACGACGTCGCTATGAACTACCCGAAGACCAACTCATTCCTTTGGCACTCATCTACCGGGAATGCACCACTCGCCGACGACGGTCTGTCCGCGAACTTCTGATTACCTGATTCAAACGAGAACCCGCTCTGGAAAACATGCCCTGGCATCTCCGTTTCGTCAGTACCACACCCGCAGCCTTTTTACCGCAGCTTTTCTGTACAAACGCAGTTGTTTCCTTCCCTCACCCACGAATGGCTTCCTTCTCTGACATCCTCCCCATGATCCTCTCCTATTTCGAGATGCAGACTATGATACAATTGGATCCCCGTCATTGCCAACGTCCACACACTGATGACCGCCACACCACCCGCTCTGCCTTCTCCATCTTGACCGCACATCACGGTGATTGTTCCTGGCATCAATATGGCGTTTGGCAACAGTTCCTCGCCGCCCTCCAAGATCACAAGATGAGCGCCCACAATTTCTTTGGCTTCCACCACGACAACACGGTGTTCACGATCTATCATTATCAGCCCTCAGTCATCGTATACTGCAATCGACTGTGTTGGCGAGCCCACGTCCAGCTACGTTCTGCATCACGACTTTGCCTACGTGTCCGCATTCGAGATCCTACCCTAGCACAGTGGCGACCTACTTCGTCTGGACCCTGGATTACCACATGCTGGTGTTCAGCGCATTGCCTTTCCTTTTCCAAATGGACATCTACGACTTCTCGCCGCCACTCGCCTCCTCCACCCATCACAACGGACAATCCTTATTGGCAACAGGAACAACAACGACATGGTCTTCTCCCAGCTCTGAGACGGTGAAGCTTCGGAGGACACTGACGGAAATTTTTGAGACAAAGAACCTCGCTTGTGCATCTTGGCCGTGGTCTATTTGATCTACCGCAGCCTTTTCAGCACTATTTGGTTAGTCCTCGGCCTCTCTTTTCCTTTCTTCGCCCCTGCACTCATGGCTCCGCAGCTATTCGATATTCCGTTGGAATGGTGGCTTGACTACTTGGTGGAGCTCCGAGTATGGCAAGTTCGTCCAATGACCTCACCCGATCTACAGATCCCCAGTACCCTCCTTGATCCACGCCTTGTCATATCACAGCACCGATTCACGACCTCTCAGAACCGCTTCTACCTCGACACCCTCCATGGACTTTGTCAACTCAATCCTTCCTTCCAACGACTGGATTACTATGACCCGAACATCTGCGGTTACCAGTACAGCATGTTCACGACCGCACCATCTCCACGCGTACTTCACGCGTTACTTCTCGCTGATCGTCGACTACATTACACTATGAGCCAGATGATACTTCGTCATCGTTGGCAACTTTGCCTTGGTCTACTGGCACCTAAAGTCTACGCTCGTCACGTTGATCGACGTCAGTATCAAAGACATGAATTGCCAACGCCTCTCCGAGAAGTTCTCCACCGACTTTCCCTGCACCGCTGCCAGATCCTCCAAGTTCACCCGACGGCTCTACCTGCTCTACATGCTCACCGTCTTCGTCTGATTAACTCACCCCGCTACGGCGGGGTGTGTGTGTGTGACAACCCTGTATCCAAGGGCCTTCTCCTCACGCTCTGCAGCCGTTTACTACTTGCGATTTACATATAACCGAACTTGAGTACAGAGTACACAGCAGGGGGTGGCAGCAGGGTCCAGAGTCTGCCACCAACGAAGACACTCTGGATACCCTGGTGAAGCACGGTCTGATCAACCGTGTGTACCTGCCGTTTGTGACATCGTATATCATCTTCGCTGTACATTGGTTTTACTCGGCTATTATTATTCTGGTTGCGCTTCTCTGGATATGGCATGGGGCTAAGCCAAGAACCCCGCTCAGTCGTTCTCCTGCAGCTGTGGTATAACTTCAGAAACAGTCATTGCTTGAGTTCATGTCGTCTGGTATGCGCTGGTTTCTGGATGGCCTGGGGCTAAGCCGAGAACCCCGTTTAGCGAGTACACATGCATGCATTGCTCAGTGCCAGTGTCCACCTCCTCAGTCCTTGCCGTGTCCTTCGGTGCGTTGGGGGTTCAGGCTGGCGTTGTGGTTTAGTTAGGCAGGTTGAGGTGTCAACCACAGACTTTCTGCACTTCCTCTTTGCAGTTGCTGTCCATGAAGCTACCAGTCCGAAGTCTCTGATGTGTGGTCGCTTGAGACCTGGACATCAGGTGGTCCGTCGCATACCGAAACCTTCCTTAGCATTCAGTGTGTGTGTCTGTGTGTGTGTGTATATGTGTGTGTGCGCCTGCATACGTACGTTTAGGTACGTCGGTACGTCCGGTCTCGTACGGGTGTGCGTGCGTGCTTGCGTGCGTGCATGCTTGCGTGCGTGCTTGCGTATGTGCATGTACCATTCCTGTCCCTGAGCAATGAGTAAACAACATGAAGTGCACTGAGGAGATTGCAGGGGGTGTGGTGAGTGTGGTGCTTTTTGCTCCTAGCCGCACTAACAAAGCCATGGAACTGAAGTAGAAGGAGTTTTTTGACGAGCGAATTTGTACCTACGAAAAGCAACCATGCGCCATGGACGTTGGATCATAGCTTGGGCATCTGTATCCTGTTGTCGTCTTTGCAAAGAAGTCTTCAGGCAAGGCTTTAGCGCATTGGTCTCAGCAAGCCAATCTGTCATCCAGAGTTTGTCTGTGCGGTGCCGTAACATGTCCAACTCAGGCTTTCATGTAGATTGATGTCACATGGTATTTCAATCGAGCCTTGAGTCCCACAAACACTACAAACAAGAAGCAGCAGATCAACGTAGGACCACAACCGCAGAGCCACATCACCGGCGACATTACAGATCAGAGATCTGCTATCAAGTATGTGTGTGCCTGGGTGTGTGTGTGTGTGTGGGTGTGTCAGTGTCAGTGTCAGCCTCGCAAGCTTCAAGGCCATGGGTGTGGCCAAAGCCAGGCCGTGCCAGCGCAGGGAGATGCAACCATCCGGCAGCTTTCAAGGGCTTGTATCCGCCTGCGGAGGATCCCGACCCGTGCTGAGCTTCAGGAGCTGGCTGCTTCCAAGCGCCTGGTGGATTTTGCGCCTAAGCTCGAAGAAGTCGTCCCACGTTTTCAGAGCACAGGTTCTGGCAGCTTTCGGCATGAGGTTCGGGCCAAGAAGTGGCCCTCTATCCTCTCGCCAGCCTGGGAGGCGCGGTTGACGGATGGAAGGAAGTGTGCTTTGGTCTCCGTGCCAGGGCCAGCGTTGGAAGAAGCTGCTGGAAGAAGTCGCCAGGGGCACTTTGTCCGAGGTGGCCCTAGTGGACGAGGCGCGAGGCTCTGCGAAGCTCTGCGAGGCTCCGCGTGCTTCCGTGACTCAGGTGGTGCAGAAGCTGCGGAGGCTCCAAGGGTCGGGCTTAAGGGGAAGGCCGCGACCCAAAGGCTAGCAGGATGACGATGGGAACGAGTGTTGCTGATGCTACCGCCCGCCACGACGGCAACAAGTGCTACTGCTCTAGTCTTGCACACTGCATTGGGTGACGACGTCACTGTTAGATGTGGACAATGTTGACACGGAAGCGACGCTGTTTTGCTGTCAAATCTGTTTAGAATTAGCAACGCGTTGCTAGCTGCCAGGCAAGTTTCCGGAGAGAAACTCACAAACTCGCGGAGTTTGCCTCAGACTGTCCGGTGGATTTTCTGCAACCTAGCTTCCTCTCCATTTCGAGAAGGTAGAGCTTGTACTTCTTCAGGCTTCAGAGAGCACAACGCCTAGCTGATGAGAAGGAGCGCATGCGCCGCGAGGTGGCTCGTGAGCTTTGCTGTACTCGTTGTGTGCAGACGGTTTTAGCTGTTCGTCGGTTCGGTTCTCGAGGCGGAGCGTGTCAAGGCAGCGAAGTCGCAACACGCAGCCTTCCAAGCGACATGGCAGGCCGGACGGACGATCCGATGTTTTTAGGGACATGTTCTGATAGCAGTTTTGTCCGAAGGTACCAGGCTGTACTTGCGGTCATCCAATTCACACCGAGCGGTGCTGGGCTCAGCCATAAATCATATCATGTATCTGTCTCAAACGCACCAAGTCACAAACCACATCGTCTTCATAATCGTTCTCGCTCAAACTCAGTTGCAGCCCCAACTCTTGTATGCCATTTCGGGTGTGCAGGTTTTCCACACGAATCCCACGTTTCTGATTGGACGGAAAAAGGGAGGGGCCTCGAGCTCGTGTTTGGTGTGGACACAGCCGTAGAGCATGTAGAAACAACATACAGCAAGGTCCACAGCGGCGTACTCACGCTTAGCATACAAACCTTCTGCAGGGCCATGTCCAGAATCTCACTCGAAAGTGACGGTTCATTATTATGGGTTTTGCCGTGGCTCATGTGAATCGGGTCTGTTACTTTGCGGACGTGTTTGCGCCCGAAGCTCCTCGAAGCTGCGTGCAATAACATCTCAGTTCTTGCGCATGCTCGCGCAGAAGAGTATTCACCAAAATCAAAGCCGAGATTCGCTGTTTAGCTGTTTTTTCCTGTCTGCATGATACTAGTATTCCCTATCCCGGCCGAAGTGTGCTTGGGTGAATTTGTGCAGACTACGTCGTGTTGTCACTGCGTTCCTTCTCGGAGCAGTTACTGCATTTTGCATGACGTTGCAGGGATGACCCCCCCCGAGTGGAAGCCGAGTGCAGGTAGTTGCACACAGATGCATCCGAGCTTCAACCAGGTGCAAGCTGTTTCGTCCTCATGCTGCCGAGGCAGGTCGTTTGGTGCAGGGCCAGTATCTGGGGGCTTGATGAACGCTCTTGTGACGGCTGCCGAGAACCCCTCGGCCGAGGCCGCAGCCGCCTAGGCCCTCGGCCCTGGGCATTCTTGGTCCCTGGTGTCCTATAATGATCAGGAGCCCAGACCTTCGGCCAGCTCGGACAAGCTAAACGACAGCAGGAAGACTGCACATCAAGACCCTCTATCGAAAAAGGATCCCCGAAAGTGATTTCGGGACAAACAGATAAAATTGCAAAATTAGTGTCTTGGAAAGTGTGGGGCAAGCAGATACGGCCGGTATGGCGTGTTTCGTGTTTCCGTGACAATTCGAGAGACTTCCGGCTCCCATCCTGTGCAGACGGCCGGTCCAAGTCGGTACCATGGCAGTCGCCTCAGGGGCAGCACTGGGGCTCCGGCACTTCAACGTGCAAGTTCCAGCGGGCTGTTTGCATCATTTTGCATCACACAAGCAGGTCAGCAGGACCAGCAGCATGCGGACCAGCAGCCACCACCATCTCTGCCGAGCCCTATGTCGCCGTGGGCACAGAAAGAGGCCGAGATTTCCGTTGTAGCTGCAGCCCCCTCGCCCGGGTCCCGCGACTGGCCCGTTTAGCGGCCCAGCCGCCAGGTCTCCCTGCTCGCCGCTGAGATTGCTTCGCAGCCGGCAGTCGAGCAGAAAGTGCTTTGGAAGAAGGCGATGCTGAGGCCCACGACTCTCGGTGAAGCCCACTTTTGTCTCGATTCAGGTCTCTTTGTCCAAAACAGCCCCGCTGCGAGAACTGAGTCAAGCACAGTAAGCTACAAGAATCCAACGCCCTGTGCGAAGAACTTTTAAGGGGGCCTACGTCCTTAGCATTCCAACAAGGCATTCCAGGTAGGTCAGCTTTTGTGAAAACTTACGGTCTTTCCTTAGCTTGCATTCCAGGGTCTCGCTACCCTTTCTTAAGTCATGTCCGTTGGCATTTTTTTGGCTCCGTCGTGCTGGAAACGAGCAGCTCGGATGTTTTTTGACTCGGCATCCGACGTTTCATGGGCAAGTGAAAACTGACTTATCATCTGGGTAACAAGGCAGTTTTGATGTTTTTTCGTGGGAACAACTACCGGGTAGGTGGTGCACCGTGGCGTTCATGGCGCATGCCGCAACCGAAAGGAGCGCTAGCTATGCTAGAACACACACTCAAGTCAAGTCTCCCCTCCTGAATTCGAAGACGTGAAGACGTGAGACGAGTTCGTTCGTTGGAAGGTGCTTGCCGCCCGTACCACGTGCTCACAGGTACCATCCTGACAAGCGACAAATGCAGTCCGAGCTGGGTGCGGCCACGGCCACGGACCGGCAGCTCGCAGAGGCTCTGATCACATACCATGCCATGCGTGACCTGTCGCTGCTGCGCGCGCCCCGGGCGTGTGCCCTTGCACATATGCCCACAGGTCCTGATGGAAGTGAAGCGCCGGTATGAGTCCTTGTAGAGGAGCCCTGCGAGAGAAAATGGCTAAACCAGGAGTCATGGGCACTTGATTTGCCTGAGCCTGAGAGCCTGAGCCGAACGACAGGACGCGTGGCCGGAAGGATGTTAAGAAATCTTCGTTTGAAGACTGTTTGAACACATGGATTGGAGCTGTTTGGAACCGTCGTCGAAGAGGCAGCGCCTCCAGCGCACTCAGCTCAAGCTGCAAGGCAATGGCGAACCACACAGTTCTACACTGCAGTTGACATGAAGACATGCAGGTAATTCTGCACTCGGTAAGCCCCACTTACTTAGCGAAGTGTCCAGTACCCCCCTGTTGCAGTCTGACGGACACCACAAGCCCCTCGCCATGTCGAAAACCTTCCACTGGGCTTAGGCTCCTCCCTGGGGTGGTGACATTGCATGCATTTCTCTGCAGCCGACAGTGGTAGCAGTCAGGCCAGATGATGAGGTGTCCAGGAAGTTGTAGCAGTGACTGGCGCAGAGTGGTCCAACATCCCTGACCGAAGTAAGACTAGTTGAGTCGATGGGGTTGGCAGTATGCCCCGTGGACAAGAAAATTGGCGAGCATGTCTAGCTGTCTCTGGCTTTGCAGGTTTAACTTGGACTTGCACATGAGCGTTCCTGGCCCAGAGCTGCTTAGTGTGGCTTTGTGAATCCGCGGACGATGAGATGACAGAGCTAGAGCAGGCAAAACCTATCCTCGTGTTTTACCACGTTCCTGGTGATGGGGACGAGGCGCTGTAGGGCAGGATTGAGGTGCCATGTCATGCGGAAACCATTGCCAGATCGATTCGCGCAAGGCAGAGATGCCGAATGCTTTCCCAGTCTTAAAGGCTGATGGACACATCCTTCTGCAGGTTCGGCTATTGGGGAAGCCCTGAAGTTCTGGAAGCCAGGGTGAAGCACAGAGACTTGAGCCTAGCCTTCTCCAGTGGAGATTCTCCAGGACATCCGCAGCAAGTTCCCGCTTCCGGGAACGCATCTTTGGCCAGTGTTGCTATTGTGCTTGCAAGCACCCTGAAACAGCACTAGACTTCAATGCTGATGTTTCTTTCTGCGGGCGTGAAGATGTGCGGACGTACATCTAGGCATGCACTGCTAGAGACGTCCTGGTTCTGGCTGAACATCATGCGACAGCAGGAAATCCACAGTTCTGCTGCCAACGAAGACAATTGTGCATACTCGGTGATGCAGATAGGGATGGCAGGCTGTATACCTGCAATTGTTCCACAGGTGCTAGTGCTTAGGTTCGCTGTGTGTGGTGAGCTATGTGAACTACCTTGTCGTGAAATTTCGAACTGCTGTGTCTGGGCGATCAGCCGACTATCTGCGCCTCTACGAAGGTTTGAAGCAGCAATCTTGGCCGTCACGAGGATTGACAAGGATGTGGGACATTGCATGCGGATCAGGGATACATGCAAATGTTGTCGATGTTGGATGATAGACTTTCTAGCATACCAGAGCGCTCCGAAAATCCCCGTGACAGAGCAGCGGCGCAAACCCACAGCATAGTTCGAGGTCGAAGACTCTTCTCCAAAGGCGCCTTGTGTTCGAATTGCTCGAGAAATCTGCGTGCTTTCAACTGGTACCAACCTTTCACGATAGTCAGTCTTGTCTAAATTTTGGGGCTCCAATAATACAGGTGAGCTCAAAGCTCTTATCGAACTATTCGATTATCTTCTGTACTCTCCTCTTTGTCCGATATCGTAATCTATGCAGACTCACGGTATGCGCTCCGGGTCATACTGGGCCACTCTCTTCCTAGTACGCACCAACAACTCGTTACTCTCGCGCCAGAGTACAAAGCGCCCTTTTCACTGTACATTACGCTTTATACTTACCAAGGTCGCCGGTCATTCAGGCGTTATTGGAAATGAATTGGCAGACTCTTTAGCCAGAAAAGGCGTTGCTGAGAATGGCTCCTCGGTGTCCGTACAGCAGCACTTTCTCCTCCGGACATTGGATACTCTTCTGCGGCATGGTTGTCGCTCTCTCCGGACGTTCTTGTTGGAAGTACTTAGGAAACATACTCCCCTCATCCCTCCCAGTCTCACCAAAGAAACCTTGGATCTGTCTTTCCACTTTAGAATGTATTACCTCTCTTCAGAGTAAGACCGACCTCACTGAACAGGAAGTAAAACAACTTCGCAATAGAATCAACAATTCGCCCGACGGGATAAAGAACAGTTCATTCTGACACATCTACAAGAAGATTTCCACAGCTCCGCGATACAGCAATGGCGCACGGCGCGGTCTATGCGCAAAGAGTTCCGCCCTTTGCCCACTTACCTTATTAACCCCAAAAGCTTCCAAGACCGCACGGGCAGAAACTTTCGCAGATTATCTCACTGGAAAGCTCCTTTTCCAGAGCTCTTTCCTGAAACCCCACCCCTTGAGACAACGGCCCATGCGGCGCGTCCATTAACCATGGGGGAACTTAACGTCGTATTGCGCGCTCTGGGCAAGCGCAAGGCTCCTGGACGGGATGGTGTCCCAGCGGAGTTGTTACAGAACGCCCCGTATATCTTTCGCCTTTACCTCCTTGACCACTAAAATCATTGCTTCAGTATGGGCGAGGCCCCTGCTTCTCGGCTCCACTCGGAGGTAGTTATGCTCGTAAAAAATGACCAAAAAGATACTAAGCTCCTCTCCAACTATCGCCCTATTTCTCTTTCTGATACTATGTATAAAATATATGCTTCTCTCCTTCAAAAACGCCTGGCGGTGCAATTTTTTCACCGTATACGATCTACCCAGTTTGGTTTTCGTTCCGGACGCTCAGTCACGGAGCCGACACATATCTTACGCTGCTTGTTGGAAGTACACGAGCGGCAAGCTGAATCTTTTCACGCGGACTTCTTGGACTGGGCCAAAGCCTTCGACTCAGTCACTTTCTCCGCAATACAGGCCCCTTTTTTGTATGTGAGAGTTCCTCCTTCCTGCCGTCAAGCCATCTCCTCGCCTTATCAAAATCCCACATTTGCGGTTTGCGATAGTCAACAAACCTCCTCTTGCTTGTTGTACGCAAACCCGAGGTCTCCGCCACGGTTGTCCCCTCTCCCCATATCTTTTTGGATTTGTCCTGAGTCACCTCTTTGAGGATGTTGAAAAACAATATGTCACGGAACACGGTATAATTTCTGGTGTTCTCTGTCTTGGTACCTTCTTGTGGGACCTAGAATATGCTGACGATACTGTCCTACTATCTAGCTCTACATTTCAAGCATCAGTGTTTATTCATCTAGTACAGAAGGAAGGAGCCCGACGGGGCCTATCTGGCCTATCTTAACCTTGACAAATGTGAACATCTCTCTCTCTGAAGTCCACGAATCGCATTGTTTTGACCCCGCTTATCTTCTTCAGCTGACGACTTGCAAGTACCCATCTCGGATGCGGTCAAATATCTGGGAGTCTATCTCGACCCCCGTTCTACCAACAATAAAAATGTTTCCACACGGGTCTCCCGGGCGATGGAAGCATCCAAGAAACTCGCCCAACCAATGACACATGGCCAACTCCCTCCCAATTGGAAGCTATTGGTGTATCGCTCAGTAGTGCAATCTATTCTCATGTACGCAATGGACAGTATCTTGCTCACTTCCTCGCAACTCACAAAACTTGACTCTATCCATTATAAATGTTTGGGTAGAATTTTTAAGATCAAATCCCCATACTACCACAGAGTCGTCAATCCCTGAGTGGCTCCATGCTCCAATCAATGTCTGGCAGAATTGGCTTTCGCCTCACATCGGGTCATTATCCCATCTCAGATATACTCCGAGAATCGCTTCAACCTGCTAGGACATGTATATCGACACCCTGCGTCGTTGGAAGTCTAGGCCTCAGCAGCATACCGCCACACAAGAGGCCCCAACAGAGTGGGAAGACCCAAGGCCCACTGGGCTGATTCCTGTTTGGTGGAAGCCTGCAAGAGTATAGCGCATCTCCAGTCAGACGGAGCTCCGTTGCAATATTCTATCGATCATACCTTCTTTGTAATCGCGACAGCAGCAGACATAACAATGGAACACTCTTATCTTTCAATGGGATGCATGGAGAATACTCCTTTTTACCGCCGAGTATCAACAATTCCCAGCAAAAGAACACATTGTGTATCCGTGGTTCATCTGCCAAGCCGCAAACCCCACAAGCGTTCTTGAAACGGTCCGTGCAGACGGGACCTTCGAGGAACCTGCGTTTGCAAAAAAAAAACCTTTCACGCAGAAGGCTTGCAGCCACAAAAACTGATGTTGGCATTATGTGGCGGCAGCGTAGCCGCAATATTTGCTAAACCGCCTGCCAGGTATCACTTCCGGTTTAAGATGAGATGGGGCCCGGACCCGGCCCACGTTGCGTGGATGGATGTTACGAACGAGGCACGGCTCCTTGCTGAGTTTGTGCTCTCAGAGGAAATTCTTGAATTGTGTTAACCCGCAGCTTGTGAACTAAGCCTTTCTTCCGATGCATCTCGCCGTGAGGCCGCACAGGTGCCGATGTTCGACGGCCGGGTTGTGGCAAAGGAGCCACCAAATCGGTCATGTTGAGAGATAACATCCTGTTCTGCCGCAGGTGACGCGTGTGTGCTGGGAGTCCAAGGCACCACTAAGAGTTTACGATGCTTTGTGCACAGTTCTTAGTAGGCTCATTTGCCACATCGTGGAACACATGGCTAGCCGAGTATGGTCTGATAGTTTGAACCGACAGACGGACGTCGCAGCTTTGAATGGCGTGGGCAAGACGCAGGCCAGAAGAGAGAAGAGGGTGTAGTTCTCGAAAGTGCTTGATTAGTTTAATGCATGACGGAAATGCTGTTGTGCGAGTCGGCGAGCAGGCATCGGCCAAGCCACCACCGGATGTGCTTTCCTTCGACAGCAATCGTCTGAGACTCCCAGGGCTGATGTGTTTGCCTTCTGCTTTGAGCATTTGACTTCAAAGGAGGTGGAACTTGTCTTGTAGATAGTTTTGTAGGTCCGGTGGTGGCCCCATCGGCAGCCCCGCCAGCGCCCCCGGCGCCGGTCACAGGTGGGTCGCCATTGATGTCAATGTCCTTGGCACCAAAGAGAGTCAAGAAACAGGGGAGCGAGTGGTCGTTTTCTTGGGTCAAGTCAGTCTGCTTCCAGGCTACGCTTCTGGTCCGACCCCCCAGGCACGTTGCAGACCTGCCTCCTTCAAGACTTGCCCAAGTTTGGACGGAGGCCCCGAAGCCTAACGATGACTTCGATATGCTCTTCAGCTGAACGCCTGAAAGTGTTAGAACGACGAGGTCGGAGTACGGAAAGATTGATCTGCACTTGTGACACCAGCTCGGGGGTGTTTCTGCGAGCCTTCTGATGAAAGGTGTTGTAGCTGGGCAATCATCGGACAGCCGAGAGAGAGAGAGAGAGAGAGAGAGAGGCACGGTGCTCACGTTGGCTCGAGGCCTTGTGCCACCTTCCGACCTGGGTAGCGAACCCCTCATACCCGAGCTTGAGCGAAATAGCTCCCGTGGCACATGAGCATGTTCAAGACAGTCTGCTGATGTCGTGGAAAAGTCACTAGTCACTAGTCGCTAAGCCACCAGGGCTTTCGAGTATTGCAAGCTGCACTTGCAGATATTTTGACGTTCGAACAACGGACCTGCTTAAGCAACCCAGTCTCCATACTGGGAATACTGGAAATCCATGGCGTTCACAAGAGATCATGGCAGCTCGGCTACGGTTTACACCTCAAAAAATGAGGCTAGTGTTCTGTTTGCCTCTGCTTGCCAGGGACATTGTTGTAAGCATGCACAGATACATGACTTGGCTTGAAGGGTAGTGCGGGGTCTTTCCCACAGAACTCTTGGCTGTAGGTACGTGCTGCATCGTACTCCCCTTGAAGCTCGGGGTGTCGTTGGTTGCCATGCTGTGACTTGGCCTGTGACAGATCACAAAGACAGATTGGACGTGTAGCAAGAGACGAGTTGGCTTTCAACCAGTCCGAAGCTTTGCAGTGGTTTGCACAAGTGCACTGTTGACTCGCGAAGGGCATTCTTCGATTCGATCGTCTGCATAGTTGCTACACTCACGGGCGACATCCGCTTCCAGCCGAATGGCAGCTCGGACATTTTGGAGTTTCAGAGCTTGGCATTGGCTTTGTGAAGTGGTAAGATTCGATGGAGACGACTCACGGCGTGACAAGCGTCAGGTGGGACGGCTGATCACACCACACACACAAGTGGTAAGAATCTGAGGCTACAACGAACACTTCTACCGGGTCCCCGTCTTCATCGGCGTCTTTGGAATATTTTTCGGCCTTCTGGCCGAATCGAGGGTGGCTGCGCTCCGCTCGTTCGAAGATGTGGGGTAAGTGCAAATGATTGTCTTCGGTGAGTCACCAGCCTTCTCACACTTGCCAGAATCCTGAGGTTTCTCCGGCCTGTTGGGTATCTACGATGACAAACCGTCGGGACCTGATATTTTGGTGGGGAGATGCCAGCATGATTCTAGAAAGCAACGGGGCTATCCTTTGACGGCGTCAGGGGGAAACGGCACTCGAGCTGTGCTAGCAGTGACCTGGGTCAAAGTCGGGCAAGGCCGTGAAATTTCGAAGCTAGAATCGGGCGATTCGTTGAACGGGCTCGCATGAACTGGGCATGGGAACATGATGCATCATAGACAGCTGTGCAGCAAATCACAACAAAGCAAAACCGAAGTTCTTCAGCCCGCAGTTTGATCGGCCCGAGGGAATGGCTGCGATGGCTCGTCTACTACCTCGGAGTCAAACAGGTGGCCCTTCTTGCCACCAGCATCGCCGACTACTCGACGCTTTGGAAATGTCAGGGACCGAGCAGGGTAGCGAGAGAGAGGTGCATATGGGACGTTGAGCCCGTGTCGTTACACTAGAGCTTTTTCTGTAAGTGTTTGGACTCCTTTTGAGGTGAAAGCTGGCCGACATCCTCAGAGCGTGCTCGGGAAACTAATGAGCAGCTCCTCGAGTTGGCAGAGGACCCATAGAAACCCTGAAGACTTCTGCTACTCATGCTATACTAAACTAGAAGCCCTAGCTTTCTGGGCTTTCTGGGGCCACGTCCGTACGCACGTGCATGCGCACAGCCCTGTGTCTGCAGGGCTATAGTGTGTTGGTGCACCAAGGTTACAAGACAGTTTCTGAATGTTGTTCGATCCTGCAGGAAATGTTAGTGTACATCAAGTAGTTGGCCGACCATTTCGGAAGTTCGTCGACGAAGACCCTATCGGAAACCAAGGCAATAAACCTAGCTCCAGACCCCTTAGGCCCTGAATCGAATTTTTAGTGTATGGGTTGTTGGGCTGCCCAAACGCAAGAACCCGGAACACCCATTGGGCCGCAACCCCTATTCGGGTTTTTCCGGCACCATGCTGAAACTGAACGAGACCAGCCCTGAAACTCAAGCAATCAATGGCCAGCGAAGATGAATTGGGTTTTTTGGGTCTGGGTACAAGAAAGTCAAAGGCCGCGAGTTCTTGAAACCGTGAAAACTAAAGAAGCAGGAGCCCTGAACCTTGAACCCGACATCGCTTCCCTGTGTGTAAACGTGGCAAGTGGTTGGGGTCAACTCCCTCCCAGGTCCAAGAGCCGAGCCAGGAAAGACACAAGCAAAAGCATCGCATTTTGCAGATATCCCTACCTTACTGGGCTTTATAAGGGGGTATGGGATATCCCTACCTTAGGCAAGGTTATGTGCTTTTCGGGGCCTTGACTGTCTCGGGGATCGCGCCTCCAGGCCACCCCATCCATGACTGTTACCACTTTGTACAGTCCAGGAAGAATACGTGCTCATCGCTGTCACAGTCGGGTTTGCCATGGGTTGGAGAAACGGCACCTGCCAGGACAAAACAGCAGGCCGCCGGCCCGCGACCAACAACAAAAAGGTATACAAAAGGCAACAACAACACTCAGACGGTGTGGCTGTAGTTTGAGCCTGGTTTGGAGGAAGCCTGCATCCGCCGACACATGAAGCAGCCTAGGGATGGTCCTGTTGTACTGAAAAAGCTAAAACTATCCAAAACTGGTTGCCGCATTACACCGTCGGAAAGGAAAGTGAATGAGGCACAGCCTTCGCAGCTAAGCCGGAACGCCGAAGCACGTACTTCGAACCCCGTTGCAAAGTTGATTGATTCGCAGGCAGGAGTTTGTCCCTGGGCTCGTCTCGCCTACGTCGTGGGCAGCCTGATGGTGCAAGGGCTTCTCGATCAAATGTGGTAGTTCGCATGCATGATCGACTCATGAGTTATCTTCAATTTCCCGCCTGATCGCCCTCTTCCAGCAGTTGGGCCCTGCGAAACTGGTAGCCAAAGAGGGGCTGCAAGTGTGCAGGGGGAAAAATCGGTAGGCTTGTGCTGACCGACCACCTGTGGCCGAGGTTTTGGGTTTACTGCAGCTTCGATGCAAGCAGCACTCAGTACTCCATTATGGTTGCATGCCGGGAGATGCTGGCGCTCACTTGCAAGCGCTAGCCGCTAGCTCACTGGTGTGCCCTACTGCAAGACCTGCAGTGTACTCAGGCTTCTACCATACCTACTCCTACTGGAGACAGCTTCTCGTCACAGAATCAAAGCTTCCCGCGTCTATGTCTGGAAGCATTCCGTGGGCGAAGGGGGGATCACACCATTTCCAGCCGATTTGGTAGATCTACCTGAATGGGCAAAGGTTGCAGACGAACCCTGCCTATCCCATCGACTTCGGTGCAGAAAAGCACGGTCTGGAGGGTCGCTGGGATCATTTCCAGGTGAAGGACCTTCGTGGAACCGACTGAAATACTCTTGTGTTGCAAGGTGTCATTCGATGCTACCGGATCTGTTTCCCTGCAGAGGACCCCAGGCTTCCGGAACACGAAGAAGGTCTTCCTCTGCTTCCACAGCTCAGAGACCCTTGTCAACATGGCAATGAAGGGGATAGGGGTCAACAAACAATTATTTCAGGGATCAACATTTTTTCCGGGATCAAAAAAGCTATTTCCGGGATCAACAAAGCCTTTTTTCATAAGCAAAACACCAAGGAAGAAGCCCCGCTTTTCTTTTTGAACCGTGAAGGCTTGCTGTCCAGAACATCGCACCATCAACAATACACTCAGCACTCGTCCACTCCAATCCTCGCGTTTTTTTGACACGCACAAGATCGCTTCAAATATCATCCTACCGTGATGGGGGGTGCGCCCGCTATCTTTTTAAGCCTTGCAGGCTTGCTTTCAAGAACATCGCACCATCAAGAAGAACTCGACAAGAACATAATTGCATCATCCTGCCAGCAAAGACAGAACCCATCAGGTCGTTGCCTTTGCAAGTGGGGGGGGCTTTCCAGAACATCTGCCCTGCCCGCCCCTGCCCTTGCCCTGCCCTGCCCTCTGCCCCGCCCTGCCCTGCCCCACTGCCACTGGGTGGCCACTGCCACTGCCACTGCCCTGGCCTGGTACTTTGCTTCTGCAAAAGACAGTTTTTTTTGATCCCTGGAAAATAGTTTTTTTGATACCTGAAATAGGTTTTTTGTGATCCCTCACCCGCAATGAAGGTGTTCCGCAGTCATTTCATGTTTGCTCGCAAGGAAAGCGAGTATGGCAGCGCCGAAAAGGCCAAACTCCGTCGCCGAGCTAGAATTCCAACATGTCTGACATGTGAACTGTGCAATAATGTTTTCGTGGCTTTCCTATTGCTGAGGCTATGGACCTGATGGCCAGGAGATGGGCGATGTAGACATCTGAGTGCTGAGACGATGGAAAATGGCTCCGAGCAGGCACTTGCTACAGTTTGTATTGAACTATGCAATATCAAGGCAGGGCTTTACACCGTCAAGCTGAAGGATGTAGCACCCCTCTCCTAGTTATTCCTGGGTATATTACCCGGGACCTCTTGTCTTGAGCCAGCGAAGCCTTGTTTCCGCAGCTCCGAATTCATATCTCAAGACGAGGCCTCGCTCAGCATGGCACACCGCTTTACTCGAGCATACTGCGCTTGACCAGAGGAGATGGTGATATCAGGATGATTAACAATACAAGGTCTGTGTAGCTTTTTGCAGAGAGCCGTGCCCAGCATTTCAACAAGAGATGAAGGACGCCCTTGCCGGGAAGGGCTTGCGTGGTTTGCAGTTGTGCATGTGAGCACGGTCTTTCAGTGTCACTGCTGAAGTCTGTCCAAACCCGATGGCTGAAGGCTTACATCAGTTTACATCGACACAACCACATCGACTGCTTAGCTTTGTGTTCTGGTAGCTTGACGAGCCAGTCATAACTCTATGTGCTCCT